GTTGGGTGAATGAATGTGTGAGCTGCAGGGGTCAATTGCAAAGGGACCAGGAGTGGCAAGGAAACAACATATTCAGGCAGAGGCTTTTGACTTCTAACTCCCAAACCTGCCTGCTGTATGAGAGGAAGACATCTCCCATAAGAGAGAAGTCATGGGGTGGGAGGCCATATTCTCACTATTGAGTCTTTCTAGGAGCCAGGCACAAGGCTCCTGGTTCTTTCTTCTCTCAACAACCCCTCTATTCTTTGCACTCTCACTCCTTGTGCTTCCTCTTGTGCTTCTTCTTCTTTTTCTTCTTCTTTGCTGCCTTGCTGTCTTTTGATGTGTGCCTTGCCCTCTTGCCTGTATCACTCTCAGAGTCTGAGCTGTCAGAGTCAGATGACTTCCTGTCTCTATGTTTCTTTTTCTTCTTGTCCTGAAAAGAAATTTTAAAAACTCAACATTTGTTGTGTAATTTTGCTTTTTTAAATCATGGTATGTAATCAATAGGGGAGCACTTAATAAATTATAAAACATTAATTTAAAAGGATAAATCTTCAAGTACTAACAAGAAAAAAGCCCGAAACAAGCTAAATTCAAGAATCAAGACCATAATACAGTATGTATTCTAGATTCCAGTGTGTTCAACATATATGTGTCTATTACATATACACACATACATGCATACCATGTAATGTGTATATATACATATATCTACACATACCTGTATACATTTAAAATACACAGAAAACAACAGAAAGGACACAAACTGGTAACAAGCGTTACCTGAGGAATGCACCTAATGGGGGAAAGATGGGTCTTTCACTTTTTCCAATGAGTCTGTCCAGTTTGATAAGGCTCTACCTGCTGCCTTTGAATACTTGTCATTTCTACCCTTCACAACCTTACAAGATTATATTGATAAAGAAAAAGGCTCAGAAAGAACTTTCTCAAAACATAATTAAAAAAAAACAAAACCAAAAACTACCCACTATACCATGCTGCCAGATTAACAGCACAAACTCATACGAAGGATGGGAGGCAGATTCTCAGGCTTCTGTGGGGTGCTCTGAGCAGTTTTAAAGCTTTGCATAAAACTTTTCCTTGAACTGCAAATGTTTATATTGCCTCAGTAAAGTTCCTAAGAAGAAGGATTATGCGATGATAAAGAGACAGCGCAGAAGAGGGCAAAGTTCCTGCTCCTCCTATAGGCTTTCAACCAGCATCCTGAGAGCTATAAGTTTGTCTGAGTGATACACCAGCTCTTGGGAGCTGGCTGTGAGAAATCGTGAACAGAACACCAAACCAGGTATTAAACCCAGACTTGAGTTCTGGCTTTGCCACTTACTGTTATTAGTATTCTGTAACCTTAGGCAAGTCATTTTACCTCGCCAAGTTTCCTCAAATGTAAAACAGAGATAGAATAGCACCTAAGTCACATGGCCATGGTAAAGATTTAATGAGATAGTATCTGTGGCTGGAGAAGTTGAAAGCCACGTGCCCCAGATCACAAAAGTAAGATTGTGATCTGCATGTAAATCATAGGACTAGAAATCTGAATTTTTCTCTGTAGCACACAGCCCCTCTTCCTGTATAGTGGTTAGAATAACAATTTTGGAATAAAACAGAAGTTAGTTCAAATTCCAACTCTACACTTAGCTGTGTGACTGGGAACAAGAGATTTAACTTTTCTGAACCTCTGTTTTCAGTAAATTGCAAATAATAAAATCTACTTCAAAGGATGCTATTAGGATTAAACAAGGTAAATTCTAACTATAGTACCTGATACACGGTAGGGGGAGCTAGAAGTATTGTATTATTCTCTCATTTCAGAGAACTCCCAAAATGTCCTGACAGTCTGGCCAACGCCTCGGCAGATGAATCAAAGTTTTGAGACGGGATTAACCCAAATTCCTTCTTGGAGTCTCCAATGGAGTAGAGACGGGGGAAGCTTCTCAGGCCCACATTACCAAGCTCTAGGAATCATGGCTGGGAGGAGCTGAGAGGTGGCAAATCAATGGTTTGGCTTGTGGTCCTGCAAGGCCATCACAGGTTATGTGGGCTTGGGAAGCCTCACCAGGTTCTGCCCCTTAGGAAGGGCAGGGTCCTGGGAAGGTAAATAAGCAAATGCAGAGTCTAGCACCCATTCCCCCCAAGCCTGAACTAGCCTGGAAATATAAACGAGGCAGGAGAGTAATAATACTTCCTTACATCTAAGTAGCACTTTAGTTTATCAAACTTTCTGCATCTCTTATCTTATAATAATAATCTGGTAAGGTCAAAATTCAGGAATTATTAGTCCTATTTTACCAATAAAACTGCAACTCGGAAAAGTAAAATGAGTTGACCCATGCTAAAGTGATGAGATGTACTTTCTTACTCAGAGTTTGGCATTATTTCCACTTTGCTCTCTCTCAAACATGCAGGCTCAGGAGAAAGAGAAAAACAAATCACTAGTGAACCCTGGGGTGCTAGGATGCGGCCTCTAGTTAGCACAGAGGACATGGGAAGATGGCCTTCTAGACCTGAATCTTGATGCAAAAGCTCTTTCTCAGCCTGGGCAAAGAAAATCTAGTCCTCCACCAGGTGGCATCATTTTCGTTGTGTGTCTAACCCAGAGCTAGAGAACAAAGGACAACTGATCACCTCAGAAGTTGAAGTTAAAGAGGAAAGTTGGGAGTCGGGTGGAAGGAGAAGATGGAGAGCAGGAGGTGAAACTAGAGCCTCCTCCCTGGACTGCATTCAAGGGAGAAATGGAGAAGATAAAGGGTAAAGAAACGACCCAGAGGTATGAGTCCATGGCAGAAAGGACACAAGGGGCATGGGAAAGAAGCCATTGCTCAAAACTGCTTTCTAAAAAAAGAACACATACCCGTGCTACAGCAGCTAGCCCACCTATTTTCTCTCTAGCTCTGAAACAGAATAGCAGCAACCCAGGGTATGAGAAAAACAAAAACAGAGAAAGGGAATAGCAACTGACATTTATTGAGTACTTACTTTTCTAGATGCTGAGCTGGGCACTTTGTACACATACCAAATTTAACCTTCACATCAAATCTATTAAGTGGGCATAATTATCTCTATATTTTCAGGAAAGAAAATTAAAACTTCAGAGGGGTTTACTGAGATAAAATGACTTGCCCAAGTGGTAGAACCTGGATTTGACTCAGGCTGGGTCTCAATGTGAATATTCTTCTGAGCCTTATCTGTATTAAAGGCAGCAACTAAATTAGCACTTCTCAACCAAAAGGTATTGATTTGGCCAGAAATCAATGAAGCAAGAATTTATTCTTTTTACTTATTAAAAATTATTCTTGAGAAATCATTCATTATTTTCTTGAGAAGAGATTGATTCTCAAGAGATAATTTGATTCTCGAACTGATTCTCTAGGGTGGATTTTTGGGAGGTAGGACACAGGGTGATTTCTGGCTAGAATCTGTCTGTAAGGCATCAGTTTATCATAGCTTAGAAAGGGTATGACCAGAAGAAAAAGGTTTATTGATCAATATGTACTATATATACTACCCACAAAGCACTTTAGAGAGCCAGAGTCACATAGTGTTGTTGCTTAGGATATGAGAAGAACAGATTCTTAATAGAATTCAGAAAAATAGTGCTATTTGTACTATAGTAGGAGATGCAAAATAAACACATTCAGTAGTGGAGCCTGGCACTATTCCTCCAAACCAAAGCCAGCTTCAAACAAGGGAAAGACTGACTCTTTATAACCACACAGGACAACAAATATTTGAGTATCTTCTATGAGCCAGGGATATCTATTAATTAATTTGTCTTTTATAATAGCTGAGTGAGGTCAGAAATTAGGGATTAAGAGCCTTCAAGGAACAAATTATCTAATCAAGGAGAAAGACTAATGAAAACACTAGGCAGTCCATGGAAGTGATGTAAGATAGTACAAAAAACATGCCATGGACATACAAAAAAAAAAAATCAATTATGTCTGAGGAATTCGAGGATGGCTTCATGAAGGATATGCATGCAATGTGTTGTGCTTTTGAAAGATGAATATGGTTTTGACAGGTGGAGCGGTGGTGGTAGTACTGATAGGAGGGAAGTGAGGACGTTCCAGCCAAAGGGAAGACAAAATGAGGCAAATGCTTGAAAGATCTTTCAGAGAGTGATAAATTATCCTGTGTGGCTTATTAACTATGTGCTGGATGCCATCCCTTCTCTCCCACTCAGAGAGAGGTCCAGGAATTGTCACCTCTCTCGAGCATCAATTTTTACCTCTTTTCTGGCTCATTCCCAACAATAAACAAATAGGTTTTAAAAGTTCCCATTAAAAAAAAAAAAAAGTCTCCCGAACGATTTTAACCAGGTTGTGACCCCACCACTGTACTGAAACAGCTCTTGTCAAAGTTACTGATGACTTCCACAAGGCCAAGGCCAAATCCATGGTCAATTCTTAGGTGTCATTTACTTGATCAGTTGCATTCAACACAGTCCATCTTCCTTAGAACACATTCCTCACTTAACTTCCATCAAATTCTCTTACTTTTCTGCCAATTTCCCAGGCTGTTCCTTTTCAGTCTCCTTTGCTGGTTCATCCACATCTCTATAACCTCTAAAAGTTGAAACATTCTGGAGCTGAAGTCCTCAAACCCCTTCTCTTCCCTATATTTACTCCCTAGGTGATCCATATATGAACTTAAATACCATCTTTATGGAGATGACTCCCAAATTTATGCCTCTTTTTAAAATTGTAGTATAACTGACTTACAATATTAGTTTCATGTGTACAATAGTGATTAAATATTTTTATATAATATGAAGTGATTATCATGATAAATCTAGTTACCTTCTGTCACTGTACAAAGGTATTACCTTATTATTGACTGTATTCTCTCTAAATTTATATCTCTTACCTGGGCTTCTCCTTTGAACCCTGAACTATACATCCAACTGCCTACTTTATACCTCCATAAAGACATCTGATAGGCATCTCAACTCCTATGTCCTGCCCTCTCCCAAACTACTCTCCTTTAGCTTTCTTTCCCATTTTCATAAATAGCAACTCAAACTAAACTCCTGATTGCTCCCCACCCCCATACTTAACTTTTGTATTCCTCTTCCCCTTAGCTCAAATATTTAACTGTTCTCTTTCCCACCTCATATCCAACCACCCAACAAATTCTGTCAGCTCTACCTTCAAAATATACCCACACTTAAACTCCCTTCTTATCACCTCCACTATTATTCTAGTCTAAGCCACCATCATCTCACCTGGATTGTTAATATTGGCCATTAACTAACTTGCTGCTCCCACCCTTGCTTTATGAGCATCTAGTTTAGCAGACAGAATAATTTTCTTAAAAAGTAGATCAAAACATGTCATCCCTCTTGTCAAAACCTCTATTGACATCTCACTTTAAGTGAAAGCTGCAAGTCTTCATATTCTCCTATAAGGCCCTGGT